AAAATTCGTAGGCCTCATTTACTTTAAATTTTTAATGTGTATAATTCAAATGACGTTGCCAGCTAGGGAAGGTTCATGTTGTGTCTTACTTGCACTATGTGTTTTGTTAAACTATATTATGTATTTTTGGACCTAAGGTGTATACGTACTAATTATGAAATCTTTAACAAGGCTAAAATACTAGTGCAAGTAAACATTGTGTATGACACTTGATTTATGATGATTAATTGATGGATTGTGTGATTGGATATTCCCCTTTTTGTTTTTAGTGACTAAGAGGTTGAACAATGAAAATGTGTTATATGTGGTATGTTAGTGATGTGATGTATTGTATAGGTCTGTTTTGATCCATTGAGTGTGGTTTGGGTTATGTTTATAGCTTCTAGCTTTTGGAATGAGTTTTAAGTACTTAAGTTATGTGGAAATTATGAAAAAGAGTGAATTTTGAAATGTGTGTCTAACTATATTGATTGAGTAATAATTTAATTATGAAACTAAAGCCATTAGCTAGAGCAAGGAGAAAGCTCTCTGTAAATATCTAGATTGCCTTAATCGGACGTTGGATGGAGGAATGGGGTGCGTTGGAAGTTCACCCTAATTGCTATCATTTAACAGTAACATTGCTGTCAAAATCATGAAATGCGTTGTGGCATGCACCTCTTTTCTATACTAATACATTGTTTTCAACATTTATGTCTTGATTCCTTTTTGAGATTCCATGCTTTTGCATATTAGTCAAATTCTGATTTTTTTATTTGCAAAGATCTTTTGGAATATTTTAGATATTGAAAACTTGGGATCCCATTTGTGTAATTTGACAAATTGATAATTACATTGGTGTTTGAAGATTAAGGAGGATTAGTAAGGGTAACCTTAGTGGTCTAACTTATAAATTTTATAGTTGAGGCTCTAGTTGAGGTTAATGACGCAAATTTGGTGATTAGGACACTTAATTGCTTGGAAATGATATAAAAGCAGTCATTCGTTATTTGGGTATTCAATTTTCAAATAAAATATCAAATTAAAGTGAAACTTATGTCATTAGTTAGATTGTGGAATAGATTACTTGTGGGCACTTGAATCACTCCAGTTGGACGTTGTATACAAAAATGGTGAATATCAAAAGTTTGCCCCTAGTAAGCTATCATGTGCGTCACGGTGCATAGTGAACATGTTGCGATGCATGTCACATAATAAGATTTGGCTTTACAGCATATGGCACCTAAGCCACAATGTATGTGCTATTTTTTGTGAAAATGAATTTTTTGTCCCTATTTTCTTGTGAGACTTATTTCTTGATTTTTTTTTCAAGCTTTCGTTGTTTAGAACTTTATTGGTTTGAGCTCAAACTACTAATTTAAAAAGTTCTTAGAATCCCAAATGTTTTCAAGTTTCTATAAAAGTTTATATCCATTCTTTGTTTTAAGTAAACTTAGGAGCTTAATGACTTTTAAATATCATTGTATATTATGATTGTGATAAATTATTAGTAATGTCAAGGTGGACATTACATTATTGATAGGTAAATCTTATACTACTATAGCATGATATGTTTATGTGTGAAAAATTAGGTTGAGGTTGTTTTATCAATAGAATTAAACCTAGTCAACATTAAGGGGGAAGAATCATTCAAAAGCAACCAACCTAATCAACTAACTAACTTTTACCTCATCATTGAAGCACTGCCATCGTTAATGAGGAGATGTAGAGTGGATTAGTGTCCTTGTGGGTTTTTTTAGTAGTTTTCTGGTGCCTAATCGAAGGACACCATTTTTAAAGTTCTTGGAGAAAACCTTTGGGGGGAGAGACTATAGAAAAAATCAAGCTTCAAGAACCAAAGGGAAAGTGTAGACTAGTTGGTAGGGGTGAGCAAAATCATATTGAAATTGAAAATTGAATTGAATTTGATCTATTTGATTCAGTCTATTTGGTTATACAATTCAATTTGGTTTTCTTTTAAAAAAATTTTGATTGATCAATTTGATTCGGTTTGAGAATTATTGAACCAAATAAACTGAATTGACCGAATTATATATATATATATATATATAATTTCTTTTCATATTTTTGAAAAAGTGAATAAATTCTCATCTAGGTGAGTAAGAAATATCTTCCTACTACTTATAGTAGTAGTATTCTTTTTTGTTTAATGTGATGTTTTGTTTTTTATTTCTATAATTTAGTTTTTAATGCAATAATATTGAATTTTATTAATTTTCTCATGAATTATGGTATAAGATTGCCATTTTTTTTGTGGGCCTTCAACATTAAGGAAAAAATGGATAGAAAAATATATGAACAATTAGACTTCATAAACTTAAATCAAAGCCCATGAATCGAATAGATTGATCAAATCCAACCATTATAATTAGGTTTGATCAAGTGTTTTGATTCGATTTGATTCAAACCTTTTGTGTAGTTCAATTGATCGGTTTTGAAAAAATTGAAACTGAACCGATCGAGTGCTCAACTCTATTAGTTGGGGAGAGGTGATGAATAAGAGCAAGAATAAAGAACTAGGGAGGAGACAAGGAAGACGGGGAAGGGGAAGAGAGGGGGAAGATTAGGGGAAGGGGAAGAGAAAGGGATCTATTTTTTTTTTTAAATGATAGGTGGATGCCACATGGTAATAACGGTCAACCTAATGGTCAACCCTAACGAAAGGGTGATATTACACCCCTTTTAAAATTTTCAAACCAAAATTGCTCTAATAAAAAAATTAGAATACCAAGCGTCCTTAACAAAAAAGTTCTAGAACATTTTTTCTATTTAATCCTTTTAAAAATATGAGTCCAAATATGAGCCACTCAAGCTTCAATAGGTTATTGATATTTACCAATCTTGTATATGTTTCTAGGTTCTCTTATTTGAACCATTTAATACATTGAGCACGCATGCACAATGGTAGAGCTAGGATCTAGGGTTAGAAGGGATAGTGGTAGAGTTAGGATCCTTGACATAAGGAAAACTTTTTTATCTCTTTTAAATTCACTATTTCTCTTTCTTTCTTTCTTTTTATTTATTTCGTAGTTCAACTTTGCAAGCTCAACGAGCTAATAAAAGATATTCAATGAGTTTACTTTTGAATATTGGATCTTTATTTTTCATTATTTTTTTGACTAGTTCATGACTGGTATTCGGGATGAGGATGATGCAGGTCTAATTTATTCAAATTAGATTTTTTCCTATTACTTAAAGGATTACTAAATAATATAGATATTTAGGTATAGTAAAATTACAAGCTAATATTCATTGAGCTTTGAGTTATACACAAAAAATTTAAATACGGAAAAAGTCTTATAAAGTTATAAACTTATACCATGAAGTTTCAAGTCCTTTATTGAAATTGTCAAGAGTGCTAGTAATTATTATTGCTTAGTTGTCAACTAAATAACTATGTTAACAACTATGCAACATTACTTGACAACTTTAATATAGCAAATTTATTAGATGAAAAATCGCACAAATTCCACTCCAACTAGACAAATGACAAAATAGTACTTCCTCTATTTCTATTTTTAGGAGAGAAAATTATATCACATAGTTTAAGAAAATTAATTAACTATGTTAATTGTGTTTGAAAATAAAAAAATTAGACTAAAATACCCTTTATTAATTGTGTTAATTAAGTCTCTATTAATTATTTCTTATGACTGCGAACGATAACATTATGACGGGTGATTTAAGAAATTTATAATAAATGCTTCTTAAAAAAATGTAATTTTGTTTACACACACACACAAAACAAACTAAAAGTGATAGTTTCCCTATAAATAAAAATAGAGGGAGTGGTATGAAATGGGATAATAACATTGAAATCCCTTGGTACTTATCTGTTATTATTTTTTTTTGGCAAAATTACGTTTTTGGGCTTCTACGAAATAATAGAAAGAGTAGTTGTTAATGAAAACCTAAACTTAAGTAATTAATAATGAAAGTAAAGTTGTTAATATAAAAAGTGTAATTGTTATTATATGAATAAATTGAAGGTGCGACCAAATATATTGTTAATACTTAAATTAAAGTTGTTAATATATGAAACATACTTGTTATTGCATAATTAAACTAACAATTTTGCTTCTTATATGAACAATTTTACATTTGTTATTAACAACTTTAATTTAGGTATTAATGACTATGAATTATAATTTTTATTATTTTGGTTAAAGTTAGAAACGTGATTTCGTACAAAAAATTATGTATGATAAGTCCCTACAAACTTCAAAGTAACTATCATATTTTGTGGAACTTATTTATATTCTCCCATGATATTTTTGCATTCATCTTCTGTACTTGGCATATTGATGATCACCAAGTTAAAAAAGATTTGGGCTGTTGAGATCTTTTTAATCAGTATGGGCACCATTTCATCATTTTAAAAAAATTGAGTTGTCTATATTTAAAACTTTTAATTTATATTTTATATTTATTAAAATAAAAAAATTTTGATTGAGAAGGTTAAGGTGAGTTGGCTTTCAAAAGTTTACTAAAATCATGATATATTTTTAGGTTTAAAAAAATACTTACAGATCGTCTCTTATGAATTGTGGGTCAAATTCTTATTAGGTAGATCAACTTATATGAGTTAAAATTTTTAATAAATCTCTTCATTATAAATCTAAACAGTACGTATTTAATATGAAATTTAATATTAATTTTTTTATAATTTTTATAAATTAACTATCTAGATTTACCCACAACAATTCAAATTTAAATTTTTTAATTTTTTAAATGAATACTTGTTAAAATTTAAATTTCACCTTTAATTATGAATGTTCACTGCTTGTTAGAGGAAGTTGTGTGAACTATTAAATTCTTTTTAAGTGTCTTTTAATCAATATAGAATTAAAATGGATGGTTTTATATTTAATACCAGTCCTTTCTTATGAATTGAGACCAATTATTCAAATAGGTGGGGTAGACTAATGAGCTTCAATATTGAGTTATCTATTAGAACAATACTTTTATCGATCAATCAGTAAGAAGTAGATCGACGTAAGTGAATTGGTAATGTGTCGGGAGAAATTTGTTCAAGGAGCCGTGGAAACATTTCGTGATAAGGGAATCGGCGGACAACCAATGAGGGCCGGTTATGATTCGTGATAAGGTTTACTAAGTAAAGTAAGGGCAAAGAGGGAAGATTTGGCGAGTCTCTGCTTCACAAACTGATGAGCACCTTGATACTCTTGAGTTGCTATGCGCCAACATGAACCCGGTATTTTTAATAAAGGCTTCAAAATAGGACGTGATTTTTCCCGCCTTTTACTACTTCGGGTTGGACCGGTTAATTACGTGCAAGTTTGGTATTGCACTTGCACTTTTGTAATTTTCGTGACAAAGTTCCCAGACGAATCAGCGAAGAAATTTAGCTCAACAGCCGAGTCAGAGATAAAAACAGTGTACCGAGAGAGGATATGGCGATTCAGAGAGTCACCACCGCTCAAACTAGAAGAGGTAGAGGTGGAAGAATCATGAAGTTATCTGGCTTGATAGCGATGATATTTGCAGCAGCGGTGGCGCCGTCGATGGTGTTTGGTGCTGGTACATTTAGCAGACGTGACTTCCCGCCGGACTTCGTGTTCGGCACCTCCACTTCAGCTTATCAGGTTTCCCTCTTCCGATTCCGATCCCGATCCCGGCGATCTTTCTGGAACTAAAATAAATAAATAAATGTCCGCATTTTTAAAAAAACTACCCCCCTCAACAATCTTCATTCTCTACTTGATAAGTTGAGACTGAAAATACCGTTCTCCAGATTCATGGAGATTCTAGAGAGGAGCTGGTCCCCACCCTTGTATCTCTTTCATTCAATAGCATGTTCTTATTCTGTTATTCTTTTTGGGAAATTTATACTAACACATTTTTGAAGAAATATATTTGAACATACAATTATGCATACATAGTAAATTTTACGATTTATAACATGCTACCTAAACCTGCAGAACGCTGCACCAGAACCGCAGCTCTTGTTATCTGCGTGTGATAGAAAATTTTTTGGGATTTGTCTTGTAAAAACTTGAGATGCAGTATCTAAAAGGGATGAATACGACTTATACAACTATAGTCTAGATTAAACTGATTTTTTAAACTACTATCGCTGGCAGAATTGTTTGCAAATGGCCGTTTATTTATTGTATTTTCTGGTGTTTTTCTACTACTCATGAAGGCAGTTAGTTAATGGGAATATATATTGTTAAAGGTTGAAGGTGCTGCAAATGAAGATGGAAGGAAGCCCAGCATATGGGATACCTTCGCCCATGCTGGTAATAAAATGGTGAACTTAAACTCCATGCATGTGAGAATCAATATACAAGCATTGTTACTGTTTGCTAACTTCTGCTTTGCTTAAGCATTTTCAGTTGCTTTAATGATTGATGTGTCGAACTGTTTTCAAGTTTTGAAAAATTAAAATGCCTATTACAAAACATCACCTGCGAAATTTCCCCATAAATTTCCAAAGGTTATATCATTACTGATGACATTAAATTTCAGGTTACTCGGGCGGAGCTGATGGAGACATAGCAAGTGATGAATACCACAAATATAAGGTCAGTTGATATGCTTTCTTATTCTGTAAGTACAATAGGGACATTAGAGTCTTCACATTGCTGTTCTAAGAAGCAGATTGATCTCTAGATCCCTGTCAACTAAAATTAACTTCCTAAGTAAGCATGGGAAGTCCATCTTTACAACAACAACAACAACAACAAGCCTTTATCCCACTAGGTGGGGTCGGCTACATGGATTGCAAGACGTCATTGTGCTCTATCATTTATCAAGCTTTTAGAAATATTATTAATTAAGAGATCGCGTTCAATAACTTTCAAGAGTGTTCTTTTAGGCCTTCCTCTACCTCTCTTAATCAGACTTAAAGTTATATGTTCCACTCTTCTCATTGGTGCCTCCTTTGGTCTTCTTTGTATATGTCCAAACCATCTCAACCGATTTTCTACCATTTTTTCCTCAATAGGTGCCACCCTCACTTTTTCGCGTACGTGCTCATTTTGAATTTTATCTTTACGTGTATGTCCGCACATCCATCGTAACATTCTCATCTCTGCTACTCTAATTTTATGCTCTTGTTGTCCCGTTAGAGCCTAGCATTCACTACTATATAACATTGCCGGTCTGATAGCAGTGTGATAAAACTTTCCTTGAAGTTTATTAGGCACCTTACGGTCGCAAATAATTCCTTTAGCTTTTCTCCAATTAAACCATCCAGCTTGAATTCTATGTGAAATATCTCCACTGATTTCGCCATCATTTTGAATAATGGCTCCCAAATATCTAAACTTTTCCACTTGAGGTATAATTTGATCTTCCAATTTCACTTCCAAATTATTGTCAAATAGTCCTTTACCAAATTTACAATATAAATATTCCGTCTTACTTCTACTCAGACGAAAACCTTTCGACTCCAATGTCCTCCTCCATAACTCAAGTTTGTAATTAACCTCTTCTCTTGTCTCTGCTATAAGAACTATATCATCTGCGAAGAGCATACATTTCGGAATTTCCCCTTGAATATGTTCCGTCAAAACATTTAAGATCAAGTTGAACAAATAAGGACTCAGAGATGATCCCTGATATAGTTCAATCTTTATAGGAAAATCCTTTGTTTGACCACTAGGCGTTCTTATACTAGTTTTTACCCCCTCATACATATCTTGTATGGCTTTAATATAAGCAATCCGTACTCCCTTTTTTTCTAACGCTTTCCAAAGCACTTCTTTTGGTATACGGTCATAAGCTTTTTCCAAATCAATAAAAACCATGTGTAGATCTTTATCTTTACAACGATACTTTTCCATTAATTCCCTTAGTAGATAAATCACCTCTGTAGTTACATGTGGTTACCCAATATTGCCAAGCAATAATATACTTGTTAGGCCTGGGGAGCATTTCAAAAGAGAGGAGAACATAGTTGGGTCATCTAATGATTTTAAGAGGATGCGTATAAATAAGTATGAAATCATATTTTAACCTAAAACCTTAAAGCATTAAGTTTATGGGTCTTTTTTATTTATATACCTCTTTTCTAGCTTAACTTTATTTGATTTGAGACTTTTCTCCACACCAAGTCAAGTCCACTCACGTACTTTAAAGACGCCAACCTGCTACTATAGGTTAGCCCAATAATACTTGTGAGCTTCAAAGCTTTTTGCACTAGGCTCTGATACCACTAGGATTAGGGAAGAGGGGAGAACACAAATGGATCACCTAATGGTTCTAAAAGGACACATATAAGCAAATATGACACCATATCTTGACTCAAAATTTTAAAGCATTAAGTTTATGGGTCTTTTTCACTTATATCTTTTTTTCTCTTGCCCAACTCTATTCGGTGTGGGACTTTTCTCCACACCGAGTCAAGTCACTCACATTTGACAACCCAATAATGCTGGCTCATGCATTCTAATAAGTCGGGATTCTCTTGCTGTTAACAATCTGTCCTCTTTCACCGATTTTATTCTATGATATAATGTCCTTATTTCCTCACATGGATCTTTTTTGCGATCACAATTATAATTAAAGAGCTAGAGAAGCAGAGAATGTTGTTTAAATCTTAGGTTTAACTTTCATATTTTTTAAGCAAGCATCATCGTAAAAAGTCTTCATTTCTGAGCTTAAATTGTATCCAATCCTTTTCCAAGGCTTTGTTGATAATTTGCAGAGGCTTATATCAGTGAAGAAATTTTGGTTCGCATATTGGGACAAAGGCTGGCATGATACATATTCTATACTTTCGTAACAATAAAGTTTAAAACGGTTCAATCTGTATTTATCATAGGATACAAGGTATTATGAAAGAGACAGCAACGAACAAATTGGTTTCAGACAATTCGTCACTAACAAGGCATTTATAGAGATCATGAAAATTTACATATTTTGGTTTTTTTGATTTTTAGTTTGTTTTGTTTTCTGTACACCTGTATTTCAATTTACAGTGTATCATTAGAGTTTGTTCAAGATTAGACGGTTGGACTGTGATACAAACTCCATTTACAACACTCAATGATAATATTATCTTCTGCTCACATTTCTTTCTCTGCCACCATGCTCTCTCTCTCTCTCTCTCTCTCTCTCTCTCTCTCTCATACTTGTAAATTCATTCTGTTGCAGGAAGATGTGCAACTCATGGCTAAAATGGGCTTAGATGCCTACAGATTTTCTATCTCATGGTCAAGGGTTATTCCAGGTGCAAAGAATTACACTAATTCTCATTACTCTCCAATCATTTCAAACTCTTTCTCACTCTCCTCTCCTCTGATGTCTCTAGATGGAAAAGGAGCAGTTAACCCTAAGGGAGTGCAATACTGCAACAACCTTATCTATGAACTCATAAGCCATGGTTATCTTCCTTTATCCGCTTGTATACAGTGATTGCATTTGCACCTTCCAGTTACTGATTTTTCTTTTCCATCATTCAGGAATCCAACCTCATGTTACGTTACATCATTATGACTTGCCCCAAGCACTTGAGGATGACTATGGAGGATGGGTTAGCCAAAGAATTATGTATGGCTTTTAAATTTTGAACTTTGATAAATTGTGTTACCCAGGGGTTACTCTGCATCGTATGTTGACATAGTTATTGATGTTTGTAGAAAAGACTTCGCAGCTTATGCAGATTTGTGCTTCAAAGAATTTGGTGACCGAGTTAAATATTGGACTACTATAAATGAGCCTAACGTATTTGTTTTGGGAGGCTATGACATTGGGTTATTTCCACCAAGGCGATGTTCTCCTCTGTTTGGATTTAATTGTTCTGCTGGAAATTCCTCAATTGAGCCATATATGGCAACCCATTATATACTGTTGGCGCATGCATCGGCTGCTAGATTGTATAGGGAAAAGTATCAGGTAAACATATATGTATGTGTTAAACATTAACTTAGCCCTGCTTTTTTATTTGGAATCATGTAGTTTGTTTCAAAGACAAAATTTTGGTGGTGATCAGAATAGTATTCAGCGAAAGTGCAGATATTCTGTTTGAATTTGGATCACTTGCTGAATTATGATCATTCAGGATTTAAATTGTTCTGTCCAATTTTATTATTATTGTTAACTAAGATGTTATTTCCAACCCTTTAACTTGACACATGGCACACTCCCCACGTGATATTGCTGTGCAATGTAATCAAATTCTCATTCTAAAATTTTCTAACTAAACTGATAATTTAAACCCTTTTATCCAAAGTTCTCTATGTGAGGGTCAGAAAGAGCCTCAAATTCTGGGGATATTTACCTGGTCTTCTTCTTTGACGAACTTAAGAGAGGAGATACGTGAGGTTGACATCATTTATTGATCTAAAATCATTAGCTTAAAATCTTTTCTACTTATATATCTCTTCTCTAGTTCAAATTTATCTAGTTTTCCCTGCCATTCACATTTGAACCCAACATTAGCAAGTCAAAAGTCAGAAGGAAATTTCGAAGACTAAGAACTTGAGTTGGAGACCATTTGGAGCATGTCGAGGTGGCTTTTTAGGCAATAATATTAATGGGAAACTAGAATGGAGGATCTGAATGTTGATTGTTTGGAGGGTATTTTTTAGTTTCATAAGCTGAGGGTGGTATTTGCAAATGATGCAAAGTTGAGGTGAATTTACATTTCTTGATTATGATTGTGATAATATTACACACAGAAAACATGAGTACTAGTTTAATGCAGGAAAAGCAACACGGATTTGTTGGGATCAATATCTTTTCTTATCATTTTCTTCCTCTAACAAACACCATCGAGGACATAGCTGCCAGTCGGAGGGCCCAGGACTTTTATATTGGATGGTAATTTGCTCAAATTCACCATGTCTGTCCAAACATGTCATTCTATGTCTGTTCTCTTACTACTATGACTTCATTTAATCATTCTAGCGTCAATCTCAAATTACCTCACTAATTCATGGACTCACTCAATTGTATTCAATCATGCAAACTGATGCTGTTAAGTCTCTGTAATTTTTACAAAATTCAAGAGAAGTCTGAATAATTCACTCTTATCTAAATGATTTCTATCTCGTGGAGTATAACTCTGTCTTGTTTTAGTTAGTTTAGCAAGCAGACGTTTTCATGCTTATTAATTGATATCAATGCCTTTTTTAACAGGGTTTCATCTATGCTTTGTTGTTGCAGGTATCTCAATCCCTTATTATTTGGAGAATATCCAGAAACAATGAAGAAGATTGCTGGCTCCAGACTTCCTTCCTTTACCAAAACTGAATCAAATATTATCAAGGGATCGGTTGATTTCATAGGATTAAATTATTATAACGTAGTTTATGCTAAGAACAAAGCAAGAAAACCACAGATGCATGAGAGAGACGTCATGGAAGATATAGCTATAGAATTGACAAGTAAGTTGAATGCTATGTTGTGTCCAAGATATGCATTGCTACTAATTAGTGCAGTGGGATAATTTGATATTCAAAATAGAATTGAATGTAACGGAAAAGAAAAGAAAATAAAAGTATGCATGTGTATGATGTCCTTCATATGTGCATAATAAAAAAACAGTTGTTGTTGAATAATGATAATAGAGATACAAATACTGCATCTCTCTCTCTGTTTTTTTTTTTTAATTGTTATATGTGCATATTTCATTTTTTATGCTATGAAGAGAAAAGCTTTCTACCAGACTGGCCTTTATTGTACTGCTAGTAATATTAACCCATCAATGAGAATATTTTAATTTATTTAACAATTAATAATTGCTAGCAGTACAATTAAATTCACGGGATGAACCAATCAATAAAAATCAACAGTAACTCATAAGAAAAGATAGTTAATAAGTTTTTAAAGTTTTTCTTGATTCCAGCAAAACATATTGAGAGTAACTTGTAAATAGAATTGGAGGGAGTAAATGTGATGTGTGTGATTAAATAAAAAGGATAGATTGAGGAGAGTGCGAACTTTAAGCATTATGGTGGTGTTTGATTAGCCTATGAAAAAGTGATATAAATAGAAGTACATAGAGATTAGAGAATACACCTTCTATGCAATATATGTTATATCCACGCCATCATTATTTAATAGAATCGGTCACTCAACTCCAAAAATTATTTTGCTTTTTGTTTGTAGCAGGTATTACAAATGCTTCGTTTGAGGTATGGACAGTTTTTAGTTTCTCTCTCTCTCTCTCTCAATTTTTTCCGTGAGACAATAAAACAATCAGAACTTTGCTTGTTGCGTTGTTGGATATATTTTGAGCAATAATTAACCATCTGGGTTGGTTTTAGTTTCCCATTACCCCTTGGGGTTTACAAGGGTTGCTGGAGTTCTTCAAGCAATTTTATTTCAATCTTCCTATTTACATTCATGAAAACGGTAAGTCCTCTCTCTCCCTCTGTGTCTGAAATTTTTTTTCAATTTGATCTGTTAAAAATGGATGTTTCTTAATTTTGTCTCTTAAATGAAATTGTTTTCAATAACATCTTCCTATGGATTAATTATCACTAAATTTAAAAAAAATTGATGACAGGTGATAAAATTTTGGATAGATTATTAATGATGCATTTTTAAATAGACAAGAAAATCATACAAATTGTAATTTTTTTACGTGAAGAAGATAAATTTTTTCTACCGTGAAGTGTACGGAAGAACTTCAGTTCTCAAGTCATATGTAACAAATCTTTGAAACTCTGCAGGGCAACGAACACGACGAAATTCTTCAATGGATGACTGGCCGAGAGTGAATTACTTGCATGCGCACATTGGAGCAACGCTTGATGCACATAGGTAAGCATCAGTGAAGCAATTTAGAAACATCACTTCCATCTTCAAGTTTATCACAGTCTCTAATATTTTTTTTTTCTCTTTTTCGTGCAAAAATATTTGACATGTTCAAGAAATGGATCCAATGTAAGAGGCTATTTTGTGTGGTCCTTCTTGGATGCATTTGAGTTACTTGATGGATATGATTCGGGTTATGGTCTATATTATGTTGATTTGGATGATCCAAATTTAAAAAGAAAGCCTAAGCTTTCTGCCACATGGTACTCCCAGTTTTTAAGCAAAACTGTTAGGGAGCAAGTGAGACCCATTGAACTTGAGAAGAATTCAACTCAATTCTCGCAAGCTTGTTCTTCTTAGGGCATAGATGTTTGTATTGTGTAATTTGGATTCCTTGAAATGTCGAGTCTGTAAAAGGCTTCTAAGAATTAAAAGTGATACATCATGGGTAAGTTTGCATGTTTCACTTATTTTCACCCAACTATCAATTTTTTAGGAAAATGACAATTAAAGATCATGTTAAGTTATTAAATTTAATTATAGACTTCAAATATTAAAATTTCATTAAGGGATAATTATGAAACAACTTAATTTCCAAGTGGTTTACCTAATTTTCATGAGTAGTTTGCCTTAAATTCACAACTGATTTTATGCAATTTCAGTAATTTAGTTATTAGAAACAAAATCTGAGAATTGTTCAGCCTATGGTAGTTTAGTGCGAAACTCGAAAGGCGAGTAGCTGAAAGGGTTTATTTGCAATTTGGGCCATCTCCCAATTACTATTGCAGAAATTAAAGCTATCAAATATGGTGTACAACTAAGCCTAAGTTTGAATTTTGAACCGACAGTTTTATTCTAATTCTCTCGATGCCATCCTCTATGTCTATTGAGGAGTTCATGTTGCCCAGCCTTATTATGAGGATGTTTCTAAAGTACAAGAGATGATTGCTAACCATAGCAATCTCAAGCTTCTTTATGCCCCATGTGAGGTGATGGTTTGTATTGATTTTTTGGCTCACATGGCTCAAAATTCTTCAAGTGAGCTGATGTTACTTCATGATCCCCCTAAAGAATGTGAACATTTGCTAATGCTAGACTATAGCGGCGGTTTGTCCCACTGATCCCTTGGCTGCTGCTTTTGGTGTAACCTTTTACTCTAGCTTTGGCTAGCCTTCCTGATGAGGAAAAACAAAAAAGTTATTCGAAACAAAAGCTCAAATTGATTCCATAAGTTATGAATGATACTACTGAAATTGCATTATTAGGTTGTAAATTCTAGATAAATCATTTGAAAAAACAAGGTAATCTTCTTAGGGATGGGGTTGTCTCCGATATTTATTTACTCCCCATTCCAAATATGTTACTTGATTTTTACAAATGATTTATTTGAACTTATTAATGTTAGCCCAGTTGTAAGAAAAGAAAATTTCAAATTAATTTCAGAAGTTTTGAATAAAAGTATTGGCATTGTATATAATTAGTTCCGAATTCCAAGTAAATCATTTGAAAGAAAAACAATCAAATAATCTACTTAGGAATGAGATTGTCTTCCAATGATCTTTTCAATAAAATTTTAACAATAGAAAGTATGTAGTTGGAATTAATGTGACTAATCCATCTCAATGATCAAGAGATGGTGTGTTAATACAATTAATCGGTCTCAATAAAATTTGCATTACAAGGTCCAAATATGTCTGTCTACTAGTAATCTTTCAAAGGAAAAAAAACATTTTGAAACTTCCATTTCTAGTTTCATATTTATTTCTTCTAACAAAATCATTTCTACAAAAGGAATAAATTAGAGTGAAATTCAATAATCCATTCATTCATATGTCTATTACTCTATGTACTATAGCAACTTGCAACAATTGACCAAAGAATAATGGCATAAGTTTTGCATATTCAACATGTCAGAGACGGCTTCCCCCAACTAAGGAAAGCCCCCTTGCCTCTCCATTGAGGTAGAGGAAAATATGAACTGTTAAAATTAAACGTTTTTAATTTTTATTTTAAATTTATATTTTTAAAATAAAAAATATATAAATTTTTTTAATAAATATACTTATTAATTTAACAGTTCAAATTTAATATATATGGTTCAAATTTAATATTAAAAATTTAAATTGACTTTTTAGATATATTTTGTATAGTGTAAATATATTTTAAACACAACAATAGACTTATTAAAAAATTTTAATATTAAATTTGAACTATCTATATTAAATCTGAATTGTTAGATTGATAAGTATATTAATTAATTTTTTTACAATTTTTATATATTTTTTATCTAACAATATAAATTTAAAATAAAAATAAAAAATATTTTATTTGGGCCATTCAAATTTTCGTCTACCTCAGTGGAGAGACAGAGGAGGCTTCCCTCCGCCCCATTTGTGGCCAGCAATAGTAACAGAATTTAATTACATGCCGACAAATGTTTAATGGCATGGAGTAATTCAGTTAAAAAAAAAAATCAACCCAATCAACGTGATTTGCAAAATTACACAGACAAAAGTCACCAAAAAAATAAAAAAAATAAAATTACAAGCACAAACACAAATTGAACTAATAAAAAAGTTGAGATGGTATTTAACCAAAAGGCCCCAATTTCCTATATACATACATACATACATACATACATACAGACACACACAACAACCTAGACAAGTAGCTTAGACACGACAGACACAATGAGGCTGGTCAAGAAAAGCTAGATACATTGAGCAACGCCAAGAAAACCAGAGAATTTCTGGCTCTTTACTTACACTTAAATCACAAGGGATGCTCAAACACATGGTTTGATTTGGAAGCTTCAACTCCCAAGGGAGGTAGACATTGCAATTTATACATACCAGAGAATTTCTTGTGTTTCCATCTTCACTTTTGACTGAATCTGGATCCCCTCTAGTGATTGGAAGGAGTATTCAAGAGATAGAACAAAGAAAGTGTAGGGACCTACCTGAGAGGTGGATCTCACTAGTCTGTCCATCTTTCTCTTCATTGGATCTTTCAATTATTGGAAGGAAATCAGGAATCCAACCTCATGTTACTTTGAATCTCTCTTGCAACCACCTGGCATGTACTTGCATTCCAGCTTCAGTTAAAGCCTTCAAAGAAGACTGATACAACCTTTCATCCAATCCTGTTCCTTCCATCTTCATGTCCCTTAATAGTTTTACGAGTTCATCAACTTGACCAACCTTTGAGAAAACCATCACCATCATGCCTGCCATGGCCCTATCAATCTCTCCACCATTCATTCTGTACTCCTCGAAAAACTTGATGCATTTTTCAAACTCTCTTGCCTTGCTATATGCCACAATGATGCTCGTATAAGTAACCTTATCCGGAGCGACTTTCCTTCGCTTCATTTCGTTCCATAGCTTCTCAACCTGCCTCAAATCCTTAGCCTTCCCATGCATGTCTATCAAAGAATTGTAGATCCACACATTTGGATTACACCCTCTTTCTTTCATCTTGGCCACAAGCCTCGTGGCTTCTCTTAGCTTCCCTGTTCTTCCATACATGACAACCATGCTTGAATAGGCCACAATACATTTATCAAACCCCTTTTGCTCCATTTCTGAAAAAACCTTCTCCGCTTCAGTATATTGGCCAAGACGACAGTAAGCTTTTATGATTGATGCATAGGTGACCTGTCCTGGTTCATGACCCTTGGAAACTAGTTGCTCATAAACACTGATAGCGGCTCTAAATCCTCTCCTCTTGCTGAAGCCATTGATAATAGCACATAGTATACAGTCAGTAACCTTGACACCTACCAATGCAGAACCATTAGCTCTGGTCTCAGTATATGGAGCGTGAAACAAGGAAATCAAAGAAGGGAATCACAGTTCTAAAAAACATTGTAGAAGTAACATGCCTTCAAGCAATCAAAAGAAGGGTTGGTTTTTGGGTTTATCTTCTAGAAATTGACTACAATTGATTTTTGTGGGGGTCTTTTTTGGACCATGAAGAAGGGGAATATGGGGTAACTTTGATGAGGATGGTGGGCTTGGTTTGTGAGTGAAAGCACAAAACAAATGCAAGTACAAACGGGGCTGTATCAGTTTGGTAAGCAAACAGTCATCATATTCCTTGAAATCTATTAAAAAGGGGGGGGGGGGAAATCTAGTACTTGTGTGCTTAGGAGCGTATCTTCTGTTTGATAAAGTTCTAAAATCATTCAAGCCCAATAGCAATACCAGTGCTCAGTCCAGAAATGTAACCCTTGTCAAGCCTACAGTAATAAAGCCCAAGTCTTCTGCAGCTCATAAGCCCAAGTTGTAACACTCTGATGTAATTTAGATTGTTGTACCATTTTCTTATTTTCATTCTTTATTCTTTTCCTTCTTATAGAAGGTTGTAGAATCACTGACGTGTATGTACGGTTGTAACCATCTCGCGTACATATGATTGAGTAATTCATTGCTGGGTCCTCACGTTGAGTGAGCCTCGCTATTCACTATTCAGTAAATCTTTCACTGTTCCACTGTTATGTTTTGACCGGCCAATACTTTTAACATATTGCTTTCCCTTGACAATGTTCAGTTTTGGAAGACATTCAATGAAAAATGAATGCAATGCAAGAGAAATCACATTTGTGTCTCTAATCAAAAGAACAGACGACACTGTTGAACAATTACTGCACGGCTACATACAATTGTAAAACAATTACACGCAAATTGAGAGAAATAATAAATTTATAAAACGACTATTTTTTTTTTAAATATAGGTTGATGATTCCAAAAACATAAATATTGTTAAGAAAAAAACTCAGTCATATTAACTTGCAGCATATATGTACATTACATTCAAAAGTCATATTAATTAAAGAATCAAAATAGGTATAGCATCTGCATTACCTGCATTCTCCATTGTTTTAACTACTTCGAGAGTCTTCTCCATTAAACCTTCTTCAACATGCATCAACACAAGCTTGAAGTACACCTCTGGATCTTTTATCATTGTTTTGTTCTTTGCTTCTCTCAGAAGCTCCTCGGCTACATCTACCTCGCGCAAACTCGCAAAGGAGCATATTAATGTAGAATATATAGAATCTTTAACAACCCCTCTTTTATTCATGTCCCTGAAGTACTTTAGAGCTTCGAATGCTCGTCCTGATTGGCCCAATGACTGACATAAAATCCCATATATCAGAGATAAATATCTTTTTGAAGTAACTAATGACTGTTCTTTTTCAAGTTCTTGAAACAACTGGACCACTTTGTCACTATCTCCAAGTTTCATGTAAGCCTCCATAACGTGTAGATAGCATCTGGAATAATCTGAAACAGCTAATTTGGTGGATTTCATTCTTTCAAAGACTAAAACGGTGCTCCTATGCATATGAAGCTTATTGTAGCTTCTCATGGCAGAATCAAAAGCTGAAACAGCAACTTCAGTACTTTCAGAATCTTGGAAAACATCAAGATATGCCTCAGAAATCCTGAACTTTCTAGATCTTATGCATTTACTAATCAATCTAGAACATGTAGCTACATCAGGCAACACAGAATAAATCTTCAAGTCTTCACAAACAGATAAAACGGAGCTCCATTTCTTTAATCTCAACAAATACCTGATCACAAGCTCTAAAGTTGATGCCTCTGGCCTAAACTCAGGCCTCTCTTTCAATCTTTGATAGTATTCATACCCAAGTTCCTCCGTTTGAGGATCTTCAAACAACCCACACACGAACTCATTCAGATTCTCAGCACCAGAAGGCTTTGAGTACTGCAACGCATCATCTGAAAACTTCACATCGAATTGGATTACAGGAACATTGGGTTGAGATGCTTCTTCTTCCAAGATCGGAGTGGGCGAGTCTGAGAACCTGACAGTGAAGAATCGAGGGTTTGAGTGAGGAATAGAGGAAAAGGAAGCGAATTGAGAAGTGGGTATAAGAGTATGAAGAAGCTGGTGGGTTCTTCTTCTACAGCAGTTAGTGGTTGAAGCGAAAGACCAGTCTGCAGAACTGGAAATGGCCATTATTGTCAAAGAGATAAGATTTGAAGAGAAGAAATGGTGCAAGAAAAGGCTGGGTTCCATATATACCTTATCGTCCACTAGATTTCGTCTCGCATGAGAAGATCGCTGACCACTCAAAAGTTGACAAGTGGAACAATGGCAGACAGAGAATCATCTGCTCCCATGGAAGCCACGTGACTAATTTGCAGCCACGCGACCTTGCCGTTCATGATATGCATGAGCAAATTATACATTAGTGGGGATTTTTTTTTTTTTTTTTCTGGGAACATAACAGCAAGGCAAAAGCCTAGAAATAATCTCATAACCATTATTTATATTATGAGCATCATAAGCGAGCCAAATTATATAATTGTTAGCTTCTCTAAAAATTATGCTGGTGTATAATCTGATTAATATCTCAATGGCGGATCATATAAGCCTGCCCAAGTAAATTTTTTAAAGCTGTAAATTTTTTTGTTAAACTTGTGACTTTTGAGTTATGTAATTAGATTGGTTCCCATAAATGGCACGGATTATATATAAGACAATTGAATAAAGAATTTCAGACGTCAACATTTAGAATATTTCAACAAAAATACTAATGTTCCTTTATAAAATAAACTCATGAACATTAAGGTTCATTTTTAAAAAAAATTAACGTGAAAAATTATGTACTTTTTTGTATTTGTAATATATTGAACTTAATTATATATTTGTTATTCTGATTTCATGTTTATAGCATATTTTCAGAAAAATTATCGTACAATTTTTTTTCATAGAAATTGTATATAATTATGTCTTATAACTTAAATGGGAGAATTAAACGGTATATGTTGCTAATATGAGCATAATATTATCACTAAGACATAATATATTAATTGCACATTCTTGTGTGGTTGTCTTTAAAATGCACATTTATTATAAGAAAATTACTCCTCCTAATATTTTCTTCAATCAAACACGTGTCTTTAAAATGCCCTTGCAATTTGCACGGGTTTGAGACCATATAAATGTAAAAAAAATAAATAAATTTAATATGAAATTAAACTAAATATTAGGAAACTAATATGATATTAAAATGACATTAAATAAATTATGTAGTTCAGCATGATCAAGAGCACCATCTCTGTCATGGTCACATTGGATAAAAATTTGCCTCAAGGCCTGTACACATTGAGGTTTTAGAGTTTGTGATTATATTCCTAATCAAATAATGGAGTTGTTGGATGAAGAACAGCCTTCTAAACATAGTAGAAAACTTCAGTTGCCTTAAAAAAAAAAAAGTTCAACCTCACTAACTTAATAGTGAGACTGATACAATAGGTAGATACAACTACATCGGCAGATCTTGTGAAAAGGTCTAAAATATTAAAAATAATAATCAAGAATTAGTTAAATGTGGGCCTCGATAACATTGGAAGACTGCGAATATTAATGCTCCTGTTGAAAGATTAAAGTAAATTAAAATAACTAAAAATACAAAATAAATTAAATTCCATCAGCCAACCAAAAAAAAATTAATAAAATTAATTAATGAGAGAGTAATATTAACATTAGGATAAAATCTACGGGCAATGATATAGTACATGTGATAGGATCAAAATACGCAAACAACTCAATATTTATTATATTTTGCAATATGATTGGTTTATTTATTTGTTAATGATATATCATTATATATTAATAATAAAATTTTTATAAATTTTTAAATTTTTAATTATAAACCCTTGGTATATATATTAATGACAAGCCTCTTGTATTTTGGGTACAAGAATTTTTTTCCTCCAATGAGCCAATTTATCTTAAAATCTATCAACAAAATAGAAACAATTTTTTTTTCGCACATTAAAAATTATGAAAATTATAAATAGATCAAAGACATTCAAGTGTTAATATTAAAATCGTGACAAAAACTGACAACCGGGGGGGGGGGGAATCCTTAATTCCAGTTTGAACCAAACAATCATAATAAATTATCAAGAATTTCATTCCATTATAATAGAAAAAAGAATAACAATATGACATGTAACCATGCAAAAAGATGAGTAAGTATCATCCAAAGCTTCTGAATTTTAGGAGTCTAGAAATGAAAATTTAAGAGACCCATATTCAAAGCCCAAAGAGGATTTATTTAGCATGCCTCATGGATTTCTTCTTTCAAAATTCTTGAAAAAGAAATAGCAGGAGGGCCATAAACGCTTCATTAATATGAACAAATTAGCTGCATGAGTTAAGGTTGGGTGTCATCATGAAAACAAAGACCACATCCACAAATCCATAATGATTAAAAGTATGATGAATCCTGTATAACCTAATTGATCAATACAAAAACCTCCAGATCATTTAAAGTCTAAAGCAGAGCCAAACATGAAGTATGGAGGAGAGTATACATGGATATCAGCATCCAGTAGGATATTTTCAGGTTTTAGATCCCTGTACATTATTCTGTTTGCATGGAGATGGGAATCTGCAGAAACAATATAATTTCAGCAACATATATGCGTGCTAGATCCTCTCTGAAAGTTGAAGTGAAGAATAGAACCACAAAGTCAAGTACTACTCCTCCTCTCTATGCAGTATTTTTTTTTTTTTTTTAAAGGCCAAAACCAAAAGTACCTGAAAAGGCCTTGATGATAAAGCTGAAAGAAAGGATGATCCCCCTTTACAAAATCCAAATTGAGATACAATCTCTATTTTGTTTGAACAAAACAAAAATAACCCCAATTTGGTTTGTGATCTTCAAGAGAAAGCACTTCACTAGCATCAGAGATGAGTAATTAAAAATTACTTGAAAAAAAGATAGAGATAATATACAATATCAGCAAGGTTGAATAGTAAGAAACTATGACAATAGATAAAAATTATTACAAAAACAATCACAGACAAAACAACATCTACAAACCCTTTTAGAATAAGTACCCGAAAGTTTATCAAAAAAATTAAAAGAACAAGTACCTGAAAAGAGTATATGAGTTGGATAACAAAGGGACGCAAGTATTTTGGTTAAAATATCCCCATTGACAGCAGTTTGAAGGGGCTCATTGATAGAAAGTTCTTCACTGTATCACCAAAACTTGCAGAGCAAGTGTCCGCATTGATTTCAAAATATTCTTTGCTGTATGCCAGTTATAGAAACAGAGGATTGCAAAATGATAGGATCGAAGAGGAAGAAAAGCCTGGAGAAAACAATTAATGTTCTTTAAGATAATTAGGGATTAAGTCTAAACTTGGACTACAAAAAGGTATCCTTAATGAATATTGTAGCTGTGACTTCAAAAAAAGTGTGAAGGTAAAACACTTTTGTGCCCCTTTAAAGAAGAGCTTCGATAAGGCTATTATAAAAAGCAATCTCTTCCTCATCGACTTTGGTTCCTAAACCATCTACATGAAAAAAAAATTAAAATGGATGTAAACAAATTAAGAGCTGTCAAATATGCAGAGAAAATATAAATTAGGTGGCAGAAGCAAGGGCCAACAGCTGATCTTATTAGCAAACACAAACATTTGGTTATTTTCATAATTTATTGGTTTAAGAACATTAAAAAGAATCATTTTAAAACTTGGAAAGTTGCCAGTATATTTTTCTTGCATTTGTAGGCTAGGAGATTTGATAATTCTTTAGGATATGATCATATAAATTTTGTCAGAGCTTTTGAAATGATTCTTATTAGCATACGCACACATTTGATTATATCCCTTTCAGCTGTCATGCATTCAGCACAGTTCTTTTCCGAAATTTCATCCTTTCTCATTATAATAGGAGTAAACCTTAAGCAAAATGCTAAAATTCTATGGCTGTTTGTGGCAATAAAAATACTTGTTATCATTGTAATGCAGAACGGACTAATAATCAAAAGCTCTGAACCCCTACCCAACAAACATCGCACCAGAAGGAGAAACCAAATATGATATACTCCCTCTGTTAAAAAATATAAACTATTTTTAATTAAATCTTATTTCGTAATGAAATAGTTATCTACTTTCCAACTAATTTTATTTTTTTATATTTATCCCTATTAAACACCCTATAATAAATATAAATTTATTATCATTACGGGTACTTTTGAAAAAAAAGGCAATGATTACACCACCAAAGATTAAAAATACTTTATATTTTTTAACATTCAATTTCTCAAAAAATATCTTATATTTTTTAACGAAAGAATTGCTAAAGATGATAAATCAAATCTGATAACACTATTTAAAATAATGCTCCCATGATGGGTGGCTTTTTGCTCTGGAAAAATTTGAAATTGAATTTAATGCTCCCATAAAAATTGGCCAAAAAAATTGATTACAATATTTCCAAGACAATATAAAGGAAAGATAGGCATGTAGGACTAGGTAAATCAATCGATGAGAGATAAATATTAATACATGACTAAGGTTGATTAACCAATCAGAGTGACGCTTTTTCTGGCCAACTTGTTACTAATTGCTAGCAACAATTTACAAAATGAAGTTTATATCCAACAATTATGCAATCATATTACACCTGTTACGAAATAAGATGACCAAAAACTATGCAATTTCATATCAACAAAACGAATTTAAGAAAATAAAACCAAATAATGATGTTTAGAAAAATGGATAGCAAAGAAGACAATAATGATAAGAACACAATTACAGTTGAATCCCATAAAATGGTTTCTCTATTAAAAAATAACATCCTGAGACGCAATTCCTAAAAAAAAAAAAAAATCTCCTCCTTTTTCATCCAGGTTCATCCATCGACAACAAACTAGCAGAGAAAAACAACACAAGTAGATTGACAAACTTCCAAAAACTCAAAACATAGATCCAGGTAGTTGGATAAGGGAGAAGATGCCAAAAATTAAGACATAAAAGGGAAATTCATAGTACAGGAAAATAAAATATAAAAAAGCGTTTTAGTAGATACCTCCATGACATTTCTGCATAAGAAGAAAGAGGGGGATAGCTAGTAAAGGGAAGAATTGACTGGAAAGGCTTAGAATGGAAGCACCATTGCAGAGATTGTTGAGCCAGGTAAGATCAGATTTATACTTCAATAGCATATGTTGTAGTCGGTTTCT